GTATCAACAAGAAAATAAATTAATGTAGCGGAAGTAACGAGAACGTCTTTAACCGGATGGTTTAAACGTGAATTGTAACGAAATCGGTTCTTGAAATCGACAAAAAATTTAGAGTAAGGCAGAATTCATAATTAGGGGGTTGGGTTATTCTATTCGATTCGGTTCGGATTATTTGGTTTTGGAGTTTTTTTTTATTTCTATAAAAACTGATACCATTTTATTTTAAATTTTAGTTCGGTTTTCGGTTTCTACAAAATAGATCCCATTCGGGATCAAATTAACTAATTTTAATTAATATTGTAAATGTTTAGTGTATTTTAATATATATTTAATTTAAAATATTAGTTTTTAGTATAAATTTTGGTTAGTTTGGTTAATTCGATTTCGGTTTCAAATTTTTTATTTTATTCACGGTATTTTATAGTTCAGTTCGGATTCGGAATTTAAGTTCTTGTTCTGGAATTTCGGTTTGATTTGGTAAATTTGCCCGCGCATCTCAAAATCAACTTTATTTTGTTTCTTTAACTACTAGTATTGTTTTATCAACAAATGGGGTCTCCTCTTACATCATAATAGGTTAGAAACGAACAGGATAATTGACTTGTAAGACGCAAATTAATTTAAAATGAAAGTTTTTTCTTCTTAATTCCGGTAACCAAATCTATTAGGTGAGTAAGTGAGGAATTTATTAGATGCCAAATCTCTCGTTTTTAAAATTTGAAAGGAAAAATAATAGTGGGAGGTGAAAGTAAGTCAAAGTAATTCGGTGACAAGCAATTTGTAAATAAAGTCAACATCATCGTTTATTATATAGTTTTTATTATTCAAGCAAATAATTCGTCCTCTCATGTATATCTTGTGGGTTTCTCAGGGTCAAACTAATTAAAACATATACATGTGGAGGGATGAGCCAAATCTGTTTTAATTTCTTAAAGAAACATTGGATTATAAAAATGTGCTTAACCCAAATTCATAACCCCACCTTCCAAATTTGTGATTTAACTGTCTATCAACAAAATTAAATGGAAATTGATTAATCACAATTTACAGATGGCTGTTACAAATGCAAGTCACACCACATGCACTCTAGAGTCGACACTGTATATAGAGTTATGGGATGAAGCTATCGAAACCATTTCTCCTCTTCAAAATATTAATCAGAATCATTTTAGGAAATCTGAAAGTTGACCGTAACGAGCTTGTTTGGGATTTTTATGAAGAAAGAATAAATGTTAGAAAAAGTTAATAAAACAATTGGTGGTTCAAATGGGGTACGAGCCAGCAGGCCATGGTGGATCTGAGTGGCGGCAAGCTGTGGTCCGTCCACTGCTGAGAACGGGAGGTGATCGCTGCTCTGTGAAACCAGGCCTCACGCATTGCCCTCCGACTTTAGGAACCGCCTGAGCCAAGCCTTCGCTCAACTCACGAGAATCACTTTCAGCTCAACTAATTGATGCCACTTGGGTCACAAGCCCTCGTTACTGAGCTCGACATTCCAGAGTTGATTCGAGGGTATATTTAAACTAATACATTACGAGTCCAGAAACCGATGTGGGACAAAAGACAGTGTTTACTGTTTAGACAAAAAAAACAAGCAATGGTGTCTTCTTCAAAATTTCCTGATTCGATGGTTGTCGTCGAGAATCCCTCTTTTGCAGGTAACAAATTCATTCAGATTTTGTCATTTTCGCGAATGTACAGGGTGGAATTTGTGTTGATTTGGGAAATTTCTCAATTTTACGGTTTCTCTGTTGAACATTTGGGGGAGAAATGCGGGTTGAATCATGTCTGGTAATTAGATGCTAAAATACGATACATGTTATAATCTGAATCTTCTTTGTGTTTCATAATCTGAAATTCGTTTTCAGCAAACTCATGAAAACGTAATGAAGCTTGGTTCCTACTGAATATGTTCTTGCTCTTCAACATTTTTTAAACTAAAAAGGTCTCTTTTT